CATTCTAATTATTAAACTATGCCATAATAACAATAATTGTATGTCCAGTCTTTTCAACCAAATTATCAACAATGTTCAAGCAAGTGGTCACACGCATTCTTTTTTCAATCACGCCAGATTCATAAAGGTAATCAAATGAAATGCGAAACCATTTCTTGAATTAAATAATAAGATGCCGTGCAGTAAATTCGGCAAAAAAATGTTGAATTTTCTATATTTGTTTCAATTTTAATAACTTTTTAAAATTTCAGGTTACAACAACAAATACACAAATATATGTGTGCATATTTACCTTTATAGCACAAGATATTTGTTTCACAATTTCATCAAAAGTTTCTATTATAATTTTTACTTTTTTAATTTAAACAAAAATTATAAAAATTGAAAGAAAAATAGTTTTTGCAAACCTCGTCGTTTGTAACCAATGCATGCAGATTTTATCTTTTGCAATTGGCTCGTAATCATTTTTAGTAATAGGCATAAATTGCAAAAGGCTCCCGATGACAAATGTGGTGAAAGTGATATTATTTTTCTTAAAAAAAAAAAAAGGCTTTTCAGTCCAGGAACCTTCATTCTCATTGAAATTAAAAAATCCATAATCTTATTTGTATTCTGACACAATCGACAATCAGAAACACTATATATGTAAGTTAAAGGCGGGCGGTTTACCATAACTATCATTACTCTCTATAATGATAGGATCCAATTGTCTTGATGAAAGGTTTGAATTATAATCCAATAAAGAGAAGATTCAATTCTCTGGTTTGACAATCATCATAACCATTTTCCAATAACATGTTCATATCATATTTTTTATAATTATCAATAAATTTTCGAGCCTCAGCAATAAAACGCAGGGCGCGCTAGAATTTTAGCGCGATTAACTGCCGTTAATATTGAATTTTGTTTTATTTAGATCCAAGTTTCAGCTATGGCGATAATTGAGATAAATACGAGTGAATAGGAAAATATCTTGCAACGATTGAGAATTATTATCATCCAAAATTGTTTCAAAAAGGTTCTTTTCCTTTAAATAAGTGGCGAAATAGCCTTCAGCCCTTGTTTTCAAGGGAAATGATATTCGGTCAATATATTTGAAGTCTTTGGCACGGTGGATATTTCTTTAAACCATTAAAAATTAAATAAAAAATCAAAGATAAAAATTTGATTGGAGAGAAACCAAACTGAATCATAAAAAACTATCACTGTTCTATTTATTACAATTTTATTCATAACCTGTGACTAATTAAGTGAAGTGACAACACTTAATAAAGTGCGTGCTACACCAATCAATCTCGTACAAAATAAATTATTTGGGGAGTTTTTCATAATCAACGTAATATATGACAACAATAATAAATATTATAGGAATTTGGTAATAAACGGTATGTGTGTTTTTTTGTGTGTAAAAGCCAAATGACTAATGACTAATTAATTCAAACCAGTAATTAATATTAATAATATGTACATTATGTTATTCACTATTATTACACACACATATAACAAATAAAGAAGAGAAATATTGTAATTTTTAAAGTTCCACGCGTCATGTATTACGTACCGAAATAATTCAACATGTTCAATTATTTAAGTCATCTAATTTAGAATATAAAGATTGTAAACAAAGATGAGTCAATCACTATTTTTTT